CTCTCTCTCTCTCTCGCTCTCGCTCTCTCTGTCTCTCTCTCTCTCCCTCTCTCTCTCTCGCTCTCGCTCTCTCGCTCTCGCTCTCCCTCTCTCTCTCTCTCTCGTCTGGTTTCTGTCAGAGCGGATGGAGCGATAAACAGGAAGTGAATCAGTGCCCTGAGCGTCGCTTCATTCCGTGTGTTTGATTGTTGGGCTGCAGATTAACCACAGCGGTGGATCTTCCTCCTGAGTTCATCCATCTCTACATCTCCAACTGCATCTCCACCTGTGAGCAGATCAAAGACAAGTACATGCAGGTAAACGCACACCGCACACGGACCATGATGCACCAGTGCTGATGAGGAAACATGATCCTCAGGAAACCATTATTAATTAACAGGCTTCCTGTGCGATTTTAGACATTTCTACTTCTAGAAAACAGAGCGTGGACATATACAGTGGGTATGGAAAGTATTCAGACCCCCTTAAATTTTTCACTCTTTGTTATATTGCAGCCATTTGCTAAAATCATTTAAGTTAATTTTTTTTCCTCATTAATGTACACACAGCACCCCATATTGACAGAAAAACACAGAATCGTTGACATTTTTGCAGATTTATTAAAAAAGAAAAACTGAAATATCACATGGTCCTACGTATTCAGACCCTTTGCTCAGTATTTAGTATAAGCACCCTTTTGATCTAATACAGCCATGAGTCTTTTTGGGAAAGATGCAACAAGTTTTTCACACTTGGATTTGGGGATCCTCTGCCATTCGTCCTTGCAGATCCTCTCCAGTTCTGTCAGGTTGGATGGTAAACGTTGGTGGACAGCCGTTTTTAGGTCTCTCCAGAGATGCTCCATTGGGTTTAAGTCAGGGCTCTGGCTGGGCGATTCAAGAACAGTCACAGAGTTGTTGTGAAGGCACTCCTTCGTTATTTTAGCTGTGTGCTTAGGGTCATTGTCTTGTTGGAAGGTAAACCTTCGGCCAGGTCTGAGGTCCTGAGCACTCTGGAGGTTTTCGTCCAGGATATCCCTGTGCTTGGCCGCATTCATCTTTCCCTCGATTGAAAGCAGTCGTCCTGTCCCTGCAGCTGAAAAACACGCCCACAGCATGATGCTGCCACCACCGTGCTTCACTGTTGGGACTGTATTGGACTGGTGATGAGCAGTGCCTGGTTTTCTTCACACATACCGCTTAGAATTAAGGCCAAGAAGTTCTATCTTGGTCTCATCAGACCAGAGTATCTTATTTCTCACCATCTTGGAGTCCTTATGTGGGCTTTCATGTGTCTTGCACTGAGTAGAGGCTTCCGTCGGGCCACTCTGCCCTAAAGCCCCGACTGGTGGGGGGCTGCAGTGATGGTTGACTTTCTACAATTTTCTCCCATCTCCCGACTGCATCTTTGGAGCTCAGCCACAGTGATCTTTGTGTTCTTCTTTACCTCTCTCACCAAGGTTCTTCTCCCCCGATAGCTCAGTTTGGCCGGACGGCCAGCTCTAGGAAGGGTTCTGGTCGTCCCAAACGTCTTCCATTTAAGGATTATGGAGGCACCTTGTGTCTTAGGAACCTTAAGTGCAGCAGAAATTTTTTTGTAACCTTGGCCAGATCTGTGCCTTGCCACAATTCTGTCTCTGAGCTCTTCAGGCAGTTCCTTTGACCTCATGATTCTCATTTGCTCTGACATGCACTGTGAGCTGTAAGGTCTTATATAGACAGGTGTGTGGCTTTCCTAATCAAGTCCAATCAGTATAATCAAACACAGCTGGACTCAAATGAAGGTGTAGAACCATCTCAAGGATGATCAGAAGAAATGGACAGCACCTGAGTTAAATATATGAGTGTCACAGCAAAGGGTCCTGAATACTTAGGACCATGTGATATTTCAGTTTTTCTTTTTTAATAAATCTGCAAAAATGTCAACAATTCTGTGTTTTTCTGTCAATATGGGGTGCTGTGTGTACATTAATGAGGAAAAAAAATTAACTTAAATGATTTTAGCAAATGGCTGCAATATAACAAAGAGTGAAAAATTTAAGGGGGTCTGAATACTTTCCGTACCCACTGTATTTGATTCCAGACTGTTGCCCCTATTCTGTTTTCTAACATAATTCTAAAAATAAATGTCATGACTGGCGCATATACTGATTTGCAAAAAAGGTCTAATTTTACCTCATCTGATTATTCGGAGTTTTTCACAAAATAAAATGATTTTTCAAATTAAACTTTAATGCACTTCATCACACAAATGCTATGAAATGCATCCTATTTAGTGAGAAAGTGACGTGAAACAGTAAAACAGACACTATTTTTGCAATCAGCAGCACCCTAAATCAGTTGTATCAACTTGTATTGATTTGATGCAGGACCGAGTTGATGATGATTTCATCAGTACTGCTATTATTGTGCAGATAATATTTTCTAAATGAGTGTAAGTGACAGTTCTTATATTAACTGGTCTGATTCAGTGTTCATTGATTTATGTAAGCTGCTACATCACATAGATACAATATTACAGCAGTTGTAGCAACATGACACGGATTGTAGAACCGAGGGAAGTGTGTTATTGTGTGATGGAAAGTGATTGTCTGTTGTGTCTCCTGAAGAACCGTCTGGTGCGTCTGGTGTGCGTCTTCCTCCAGTCCCTCATCAGGAATAAGATCATTAATGTTCAGGATCTGTTCATCGAGGTGCAGGCCTTCTGCATCGAGTTCAGCCGAATCCGTGAGGCCGCCGGTCTCTTCCGCCTCCTCAAGACTCTGGATAACGGAGAGATGCCAGCCGAGGGCAAGACGGCCAAATGAACTCAAGGACTAAAGCTGAGTCTCTCCTCTATTAAAGCACATGAGTTCAGCCTTTCAGCTCACAGACTGAACGGCGTACGAACTCCATCTGTTTTCTCTTCCTATCTTTACAACATGTGCTCCACTATCGTGACCTGTTTTGATCCCAAACACCTGTATTTTTTGTCCATTAAAGTGATGGTTGCTTACACGTTCTCAGACGACGTGCTTCAGTTTGTGTGTCTGTGAACTCCTCCGCTTCAGCGGATCTAGAGAATGCATTTGTGACGGGTTTGAAGTGCATTTATGCGGCTCGGTTTTATGGAAAGTCATTATGTCAATGTTTGTATCGTCTCGTGTTAGTCACATTGATCAGTTTAGAGCTGGACAACAGGGTAGTTTACGTTTTAAACCAGCATAAACCATCAACCAAATGAGATTCACTAGTAACGCATTAAAACTCCATTTGTTGAACATGAACTAACAACGAAAAATACCTCTAAAGCATATTAGTTATAGGAACAGTTCAGCCAAAAATAAAACTGCTCATCCTCAGGATGAGTTTGTTTCTTCGTCAGGTTTGGAGAAATGTAGCATTGCATCAGTGTCTCACTGCAAGTGAATGGGTGCCGTCAGAACGAGAGCTGATAAAAACATCAAAAGTAATCCACAGCACTCCAGTCCATCAGTTAACATCTGGAGAAGACAAAAGCTGAAACTAATCCAGCATTAAGACGTTTTTAACTAAAATACCATAGAGTCCATAATCCATAATAACTCTTCCTCCAGTGAAAAAGTGTTCTGGTGTCAATCAGAGAGAAATCTGCACAGATCAAGCAGCGTTTAAACAGCTCTAAACACTTATGTGGCTGGATTTTGATGTGAGAGACAACACCAGATGCACTTTTCTGCTGGAGGAAGCGTGTTACCTTAATAGCATGTCAGTAGTATGAAACAAGCACAAACACTCGAGTTAAAAAATGTTTTTTATTTGCACATTGATTTCCAGTGACATTTAAACATGTACATCGGATTCAGAGACGGAACGTGTGTTTACTGCCGTTTATAGGCTGAAGTACCTGAACATTCAAAAGAGCACAACTGGCCTGACTTTATATTCATGCACACAGTGCTCATAGACACAAACAGACGTGACCTTTTTTGTACACAGCTTAAGCCTGATTATCTAGAGGTTAATGAAGACAGCAGATAGATTGAATCGATTATTCAAGAACTGTTAGTTCATATTCCCCTGAGAAGTTTTCATGATAAATGCATGATGGTGGGAACCCAGTAACTGAGCAACAACTATAAAAGACAAAGGAAATATAAAAGCAGGCGTATAATCCTGCGCTTCTAGATTCGTCTCATTCCTCGAGCCATGAGGCAGGCGAACACCGTCATCACCATCTTGGGTTTGACCTCCACCAGATCCTCCGGCAGCGCATACACTCGCGCTCCGATCTTCCTCGCCATAGAGATCGCGTACCTGAGAATACATCGGTGAGTTTAACATGCTGTTTGATTTTAAACAGAGTTTGAACAGTTCTGGGTTCAGTAGATGTTCAGTTCTGACTTTCTTATAATTCAGAGTTTTTATCTCGCAATTCTGACTTTCTTATAATTCTGAGTTTTTATCTTGCAATTCTGAGTTTATATCTCGCAATTTTGACTTTGTCATAATTCTGAGCTTATATCTCGCAATTCTGACTTTCTCATAATTCTGAGTTTATATCTCGCAATTTTGACTTTGTCATAATTCTGAGCTTATATCTCGCAATTCTGACTTTCTTATAATTCTGAGTTTTTATCGTCATAATTCTGAGTTTATATCTCGCAATTTTGACTTTCTCATAATTCTGAGTTTTTATCTTGCAATTCTGAGTTTATATCTCGCAATTCTGACTTTTTCTCGCAATGAGTTTATATCTCACAATCTTACATTTTTCTCGCAATTCTGACTTTTAAGAAAATTGTAGACTTTTAAAATAAATATTTTTCCACGTGTCACGTTACACCACAGCGCTGAACTCATATCAAACCCAGAACGTCTGTTTAATATTCATAAATATGCTAATGAGGAGTGTGACTGTGACGTACTTGGCATTATTGAGTTTCTCTTCATCTGTCAGGTCTTCTGCCTTGAGAAGGTCGTAGCGGATGGAGCCAGGCTGGATGGCGTCAATCAGGTCCAGGACCGGCATGCTGCTGCTTATGGATCCGTCCTGCAGAATCA